GCTGTGGGAGCAGCTGGAGGTGAAGGCAGAGGAGGCGCCGGCTGCCGCGGCAGCGCCTGCCGCCGAAGGCGCCGGCGGCGGCGAGGCCGAGGCCGCCGCCGCGCTGGAGGCGGCGGCGGCGGCTGCCGAGGGCGGGGGCGGGGTGGAGGAGGGCGGGGAGGATGAGGATGAGGATGAGGATGAGGACATGGCGGCGGAGGAGGAGGCGGAGGCGGAGGAGGAGGTGGCGGAGCTGGTGGGCGATGCCGACATCGACCCCGAGCTGGCTGCCGCCAACGCCAAGCTGGTGGACGACTTCAAGAGCAAGATGAAGGTGGGGCGGGGGATGCGTGTGTGTGGTGTGTGCGTGTGTGTGGTGGAGAGGGAAGGGGCGCGCCTCCCTCCCTCCTCCTCAGCTGGGCTGCCTGCCATGCCGCCCTCCCTCGTATCTTGCACCCAGCCTGCCGCCCTCCACCCTCCACCCATCTGCGTGCGCTGCCCGCCTGCCCGCCTGCCTGCCTGCCTGCCTGCCTGCCTGCCTGCCTGCCCGCAGGAGGACATGAAGGACAAGGCGGACATGTTTGACGAGATGGTGCAGCACGAGGAGAAGATACGGCTGGGGGAGGCGGGGTGGAGGGAGCGGTACTACGAGGTGCGGGCGACGCAGCCTGGCAGCTCGTTAGGCCTGGCAGCGTGACGCAGCCTGGCAGCTGGCACAGCCCGGCTGGCAGGCGCTGCGCCACCCGAGCCCACCCTCGCGGCCGTCCCTCGGCAGCCCTTCCTGCCTGCCAACCGCGCGCTCGCTCCCCGCCCCCCACACCGGCTCCCCCCCGCAGGACAAGTTTGGGCTGCCCCCCGGCCAGCAGGCGGGCGTGGTGCGCGACCTGGTGCGTGCGTACGTGGAGGGGCTGTGCTGGGTGATGGCATACTACTATGACGGCGTCGCCTCCTGGACCTGGTACTACCCCTTCCACTACGCACCCTTCGCCTCGGGTGCGCGCGCGCTGGCGGCGGCGCGGGGGCGGCCGCGTGGCCGTGAGGGAGGGGATGCCCTGCGTGGCAGGGGCCCGGGAGGGTGATGGGGGGCCGCTTGGCCCTCAGCCACCCGTGCACGGCCGCCCTGTGCTGCCGTGCACGCCTGCCTGTGCCACCTGCCCACCTGCCCTGCCCTGCCCCGTCCTCCCCCATCCTGCAGACCTGGTGGGCATCGCCAGCCTGGACATCAGCTTCGAGCTGGGGGAGCCCTTCAAGCCCTTTGACCAGCTCATGGGCGTGTTCCCCGCGGCCTCAGCCCACGCGCTGCCCGCAGGCTACCGGGTGAGCTGAGCAGGACGGCAAGCGGGCGCGCACCGCCCTGCCGCAGGCAGTCGCACCCCTGGCGCCCCCCACCCCACCCCACCCGCCACTGCTGCTTCCTGCCCATGCCCTCTAAGTCCCCACCCCACCCCTCCTTTCCCCCCCGGGTGTGCCCTGCCTGCCGCGCAGCCGCTGTTCAGCGCCGCCGACTCCCCCATCCTCGACTTCTACCCCAAGACCTTCAAGGTGGACATGAACGGCAAGCGCTTTGCGTGGCAGGGCGTGGCGCTGCTGCCCTTCATCGAGGAGAAGCGCCTGCTGGCGGCCACGCGCGCGGTGGAGCACACGCTGAGCGAGGAGGAGCGGTTCAGGTGGGGCACCTGTGGGTGTGGGGTGGGGGGTGCGGTGTGTGTGGGGACAGGGGCGCAGGGGGCGAGAGCAGGGAGCGAAGGGGTGTGGCGGGGTGAGCAGGAGGGCAGGGGGCTTGAGGACGCTCGTGAGGGCGGTGCATGCGCCTAGCCGGGGCGTGAAGCCAGGCCGGGCCGGGCTGGGCCCCCGACGCGGCAATCGCCCGCCTGCCCGGCGCCCTCGCCGCCACCCACGGCCTTGCGACCGCCCCTGGGCCGCAGGAACGGGCGGCGCATGGAGCTGCTGTACGTGGCGGGCAGCCACAGCCTGGCGCCCGACGTGTTTGAGGTGGCGGAGGCGGGGGAGGGCAAGGATGTGGCGGGCAAGCTGGAGGCGGCGCGCACGCTGGACCCAGAGGCGTCGGGTGAGGAGGGAGCAGGCGGGTGTGGGCGGGCGTGCATGCGGGCAGCCAGGGGGGCGAGGCTGTGGGGCCGGTCTGCCAAGGTGCAGCCGCGTGGCTGGCGTCTGGGAGCCCCGTGTGCTCTGCCCGGCCGCCCCAGTCTTGCCTGCCTCGCCGCCCCCTGTGCCCTCGCCCCCACGGGGTGCTCCAACCCTTCCGCCCCCGCCCCCTCGCCCCCTCCCGCCGCCCGCAGACGGCATGAACGGCGTCATTGTGGCGGCCCAGGGCGAGGCGTGCCCGTCTGTGATGGCGGCGCCCTACCCAGGCCTCGGCGACGACATCACCTCCAACAGCGTGGTGTGCTGCATGTACAAGCTGCCGCCCCACCACAGGCACTCGGTGCACCTGCTGCCGGGGGCGCGGGAGGAGGTGAGCAGCCAGGGGCGGCGGCCCGCCGGCCAGGGGAGCAGGCGCCTAACTGCCTGCGCAGGGGGCTGCAGCCTGGGGCTGCCATGCACGCCACCGCTGTGTTGGGCAGTCGACGCTCCGTGCCGCTTGCTGCGCTGGGCTGAGCGGCTGCGTGGCTGGCGGTGGCGGTGCAGGAGCCCGTGGTGACCGATGCCGACCTGCCTCCGGAGCAGCCGCTGTGGCACGAGGCGCCGCGGCGGGGCGGCCCCGGCGGCTTCAACGGCGGCCGCGGAGGAGGCTTCCAGGGCCAGCGCCCGCCGCCCCCCGGGCTGCTGGGCGACGGCGCGCACCGCATGCTGCAGCACAGCCTGCACATGGGGCGGCAGCAGTACCCGGGGGCAGGGGTGCAGCCGGGGTACGGCATGCAGCAGCCGCAGTTTGGCTTCCAGCAGGCCCCCCCCATGCTGCAGCAGCAGCCGCAGTTTGGCTTCCAGCAGCCGCAGTTTGGCTTCCAGCAGGGCCCCCCCATGCAGCAGCAGCAGCCGCAGTTCGGCTTCCAGCAGGGGCCGCCCATGCAGCAGCCGCAGTTTGGCGTCCAGGCGCCGCAGTTTGGCTTCCGCCCGCCGCAGCAGGCGGCAGGGGGAGCCAAGTTCATGGGTGGCTCCTTTGGCGGCCCGCCCTCCATGCAGCCGCCGGTCGGCTTTGGCGGCTTCACCCCCGCCCCGCCCGGCATGCAGCCAGGGCAGTTTGGCGGCCCGCCGCCACTGGGCTTTGGCCAGCCCGGCCCCGGCTTTGGCGATGGCCCGTATGGCCAGCAGCCGCCTCCTCAGCAGCAGCAGGGCGGATTCGCGCAAGGCAACCGCTATGCCGCGCTGCAGCGCCGCCCGTGACGGGCTCGCCGGCGTGCCGGCAGGTGGGCCGGCGCTGCCTGCCCGTGATGTGTTGAATAGATGTTTCAGGACCCCCGATGACCCCGGTTGGCTGCACTGTTGGCAACGTGAGCAGCACTCGGTGCATTTTTGGCACGAACGAACGACTTTGAGCTTTTGTTTTGTGAAAGTATGAAGGAGGGAGCAATGAAATGGAAGCAGGGGTGCGCGTGGGAACAAGTGCAGGGTCATTGGTCAAAATCGGTGTGTGGCAAGGGGCAGTACAAGAGCGAGGGACGTACAGGAGAACAAGCGCATGGCACAAAGAGCCGGGCCCAGGCCGCCCGCCTAGGCGCCTACGGCTGCTTGGGGGCATCGGGCTTGCTGCCCTCGCCTGGCGGCGGCGGCTTGTGCTCTGCCACCTGCTTGATGTCCTGCTTGGCTGCCTGCCTGCGGGCAGGCAGGGGCAGCGAGGGAGATGCAGGCACAGCAGCTGAGGAGCTGCCTCGTGCATGGGATGTGCTAAGCATGCAGCACGAATGCATGCACGTGTAACAAACAAGGACGGGGGGAGCGGCAGCGACGCACTCTGCGGCCGCGCCCTGCTCCTCCAGCCAAGTGCGAACGTGGCGCATGTTGCGGCGCAGCATGGCGGATGACTGCTTGATGTCCTTGCTCATCAGCATGGCCACCGCTCCCACGCCCACTGCAGCAGGGAGCCAGGGTTGTGGAGAGCGGTCTGCGACCCAGCCTCTTGGGTGGGCGGCGGACTTTCAGGCAGCGGCGGCGGCGACTGGTGGGAGCGGGCGGCCATTGCTGCAGCCCTGGAGCTCACCAATTGTGAGCAGAAAGTTGCTGATTGCCATTGCCTGTTGCTGCTGCTTGGGTCTGGCGAGTGCCGCGACGCAGGGGGTGGCTTTGGCGCCTCGGTGCAGATCTGAACGTTGTGAGATTCGAGTTGATCCAAGCAAGGCTGCTAGAGGGGCCGAGGGCTCAACGTGGGCACCCCCAGGCGACTGACAGCGTGTCCCTCGTGACCCTGGCTCTCATGAAGGCCTGCCCCGCGCCTGCCTCTCCCCTTTCTTGCCTGGCGGTGTGGTAGACGGTGTGGGGCTTCACGATGGTGAGGGGCGCGGCGGAGTGCATGATGGCAGGCATGGCTCTCGCCCGGCGGCAGCGTCAGCCAGGGCCCTCAGCGGCCAGGGATAGTCCCGGGCCATCCCTGGGGCGCGCCGCGCCGCGCCCCAGCGCCCAGGCCGGGCATGGCAATCGAGCGCCTGCCACTGCTGCTGCAGGTGAACGTCCCGAAGACCAAGAAGGCCTACTGCAAGGGCAAGGAGTGCCGCAAGCACACCATGCACAAGGTCACACAGTACAAGACCGGCAAGGCGTCGCTGTATGCCCAGGGTGCGCGGCGGGTGGTGGCTGGCAGCGCCGTCCTCCTCATAGCTGGAGGTGGCAGGCTGCAGCAGGGATGGCGTGATCCGCTGCAGGGATGGCGAAGAGGCTTGGTGCAGTGGACAGGACTGGGTGCATGGGGCCGAAGTGGGTGTGAGCAGCAGCTAATGTGTGGGGTCGCCGGGTGCTGCAGGCAAGCGGCGTTACGACCGCAAGCAGTCGGGCTATGGTGGCCAGACCAAGCCTGTGTTCCACAAGAAGGTGCGCGACGGGGAGGGCTGCTGTGGCCGAGCAGTTGGGTCACCGGCGGTTTTGGGCAGTGCAGCATGTGGCGGCGGGAGCAGCGTTTGGGAGCACCATTTCGGAGCAGCACACAGCAGCAGCAAGTCGGAGACATCTGGAATGCATCAACAGTGGGCAGCGGCAGCCCTGCAGCACAGTGGGAGATGAATATCATGGATGGTGCACAGGCCTGGACTTGATTGCTGGAGTCACTGGACACAGCATCAGTGGCAGCGCACAAAGACCGCCAGGCAGATGGCTGACGTGGGCAGGCGACATCGGCACACTGAGCTGCACCATGGCACCAGGAGGGGCCCCCGCAGGGCAAACTCGCTGCTTTCCATTCTGGAGTGTGTTGCTGAATGGCTGCTGTCGTTGTGTGGCTGGCTGGGCGTGCCGCTGCCTGCAGGCGAAGACCACCAAGAAGATTGTGCTCCGTCTTGCCTGCACCGTGTGCAAGGCGCAGCATATGCATGCCATCAAGGTGCGAGGGCCAGGCAGCCATCAGCACCTGGACAAGGGCAGGGGGCGAATGTGTAGTGGCTGGACAGGGTGGTGGTGGTGGTGTGCTGCCTGGACACCTGTTTGGGCCACCCCGACACTGACCCCCGTGGGGCCTCGCTGTGCCGCTCTGCAGCGCTGCAAGCACTTTGAGATCGGCGGCGACAAGAAGGTCAAGGGTGAGTTCGAAGGAGCGGCAGAGGCTTGCCTAGGCAGGGATAGCAGCAGCAGCATATGTCCCCATGCGAACGCTGGCCACTCAACCATCGCCATGTTTCTGCGCCCTTGGGAATGCAGGCCTGTACTGATCTTTACGAGCCATCCCTACTACCCTCACGTTTTGGGGCTTTGTATGGATCTATAACACAGGGTTACCCCCGGGTGACCTGGGCAGCCCTTCGAGGCCGAACTGCACAAGTAGGCTGGCTGGAGGTAGCTTCATTTGTGTAACTAGGACATACACGTGCAAGTGAGAGACAGAGCTTGGAGAGTGAAATGTCGCAAAAGAGGGGAGCGGAGACAGCAGTGAAGTGTCAAAATGGGCAATGGGTCAGAGCAATGTCAGTCGGAGTCAAGCAGGGCAAAAACGAGCGCTAGGACGAATTAAATGGCATCTTTTGGTGTTCGGGGGGTGCCACTACGTTGCACTTTGCTTGTATCCCTTGGTGTCCAGGATTTGCTTGCCTGCAGGCGTCAGCAGGACGCACAGAAAGAGGTTGAACAACAATCAGTCATCATGCATGGAGGGAAGAGTTTGCAGGATAGATTACAGGGGGGGCCTGGCTGCGCCGCAGCCTGTACAGATGCTGTCTGCCCACACGCACCGCACATGGCGCAGAGCCCTTTCTGGTAGCTGCACCCTTGGCAGTACTTGTAGTCCTTGGCCACGCTGGTCTTGCACACCTGCGTGAGCACACGCGGGCAGGGAGGAAGGTGGCTGTGACCATCAAGGGGCGGGCAGGGGGCAGAGCACCGCGCCATGTTGCAGTCCCTCCTCACCGTGCATTTTGCGCTATATGGCGCCCACTGCTTACGCTTGCTTAAAGCTTTATTCTCGTTGATCTACAGCAGAGAAGCAGAAGAGCGAGTTGGCCGACGAGGGTGCCCGCGACGCTGGGCACGGGTGTTAGTGCCTGTTCCAAATCGAGTCTCACCTTGCGGCCTCCGCTCTCCATTGTGTTCATGGCCCCATCCTTCCACTTGTCTTGCACAATGACCTGCAGCAGTCGCAGTGGCGTCGGGAAGCGGCGGCAGCACAGGCGGAGGCGGCAGCCATCTAGCGATGCTGGCGTCTCCCACCTTGCTCAGCTTCTTCTGGCACTTGTCACACACCATACTACTATGCCTCCTCTGCTCCTGCCGTTTGTTGCGAGACCCGCAGCTGCAGAACACAGCCCGTCGACGACGGAGCAGCGCGGGCAAACGGTGACACGCGAAGAATGGGTTGCAGAAGCCACCCTCTTGACGGAGCAGCTAGCAGCACATGGGAACACTCGAAGAAGGGGGTGCCAAGTCGCTGGCTGCTGACCTTTGGCGTGAGTGATGACCACCAGAAGTTGTGACAGGTGGATGAAGCGGGTAAACAACGCAGTGAGTTTCTCCCTGCAGGGCCCTGCCATTGCTGGCTGGCGCCCGCTGGCGGCGCGCTGTGCCATGCAGTCCTAGGACTGTGCTGCGCTCAGACCCAGTATGCACACTGTGGACACCATCCAAGCACCAGTACCCTGTATCACAAGCTCATTTCAGTTGAGAAGGGCCTCATGCGCCACTGCTGCCAAAGCAACAGCGTCTACTTGAGTTGCTGCAGGCGCGCAGTGATGTCCTTGTGCAGCTTGGGCACCTGCTTCTCGTACTCCTGGGCGCAGTCGGCGGCACATGTGCTCAGCAGCTTCTGCGCCTTCTCAACCTCCTTTTGAGATGGGGTCGCCGACAGCTGCTCCTGCGCCTTGTCTTGGCACCGCTGCACGCACCGCTGCAGGCGATCCTGCAACCAGCGGCAGCAAGGCAACGGTGGGATGGCCTGCATCTCAGCCTCCCACAGTGACTCGAGCAGTGGCATGCCCCCAAGCGCAGCAGCAGCCTCTCCATAAATGCTGCTCAATGCTGCGCACCTGGAATTCTCTAATGCTCGTGTTAATGATCTGGTTGGCCACCACCACACGCTGCTCGCAGTCGCCACAGCACTGCTGCAGCGCAGCTTGGCTCGGCGCCGTGTCGCAGCACTTGGCCTGGCATAGGAACGACGCCTTCTGTAATGGCCGCATCGCCTGCTTGTCTAGCTGATCCACCATCCCCTCCATGGACTGCATCCACGGCGGCAGGGCCCGGCACCGCATGTAAGGGTGCACCAGAGAAGAGAGCGCAGGAGAGGAGGGGAGAGCAGGGCGGGCTGCTGGCGAGCTGGCGGCGGGCGGGTGGGTGGGCCGCACTGCCAATCAATCATGTGCGCTGGTCTCAATTCGGGCAGCGCACCCCTTTTCCTCACTTCCTCGCACCTTTCGCAGGCCATCGGCTCGATTCTCGTCAGCCATCGTGCGTGAACCTGCTGTTGCTTGCTTGTAAACGGATTGGCGAACGCACAGGAGGATGAAACAGGAGTGCTACAAGTTTCCAGCATCGCCTTTGATTTGGGTTGCCGCCCGACTTTCCTGCCGCCCCAAACCGCATGCGCATTCAACCGATGAGCTCCAGCTCCAGTCTGCTAACCAATATCAAAAAGATCCTTGCAACTCACGGGTGCAGACAGCGTCACCCCATCAAGAGATGATGGCACTCTTACAAGGCGCGCCCTGCGCCACCCAGTGCCAGTGCGAGATCGGCGGGCATTGGGCCCGTCACGAAGTTGCTGAGCAGGGCTGTCTGTTCGGTACAATTCTGACGGAAGAATTTGCATGCTGGCTCAACAAAGTGGTTCGCCGCAACCTGGTAGCAGACAGCCCTCAGAACAGGCGCACACGGCCGCTCGCGCTGCCGGCTCAGACAGCGTCGCGCACAATCTGCTGGAGCTTCTTAACGCGCGCCAGGATGCTCATGTCCACGTACTTGTCGCCCATGGACAGAATCACGCCGCCGATGATGGAAGGGTTGACCTGCAGGGGAGAAATGGCACAGGAGGGCAGCGAGCAGGTCAGAAATGTTGACTGCTCGAGGAGCTGCCTCTTTGTCATGCTCCATCTTTACATTGCACCACTTGCTGCCCTGCCCGCCAGCCAGCCGGGTGCACCTGCTCCTCCAGCGACAGCTTCTGGCCCGGCTTCAGCAGCGGCTGCAGGCCGCGCTGGATCTCCTCCATCTCCTGCGGGCTCAGCCCCTGCGCCACACACACAACCACGCACAAGCAGACATACAGGCGACATCAATCTCAGCGACCCAGCAGGGACCAGAGTCCCACTGCCCTGGTGGCATGCATCCAGCCATGTGTTGCAATCAGTCTGCCTTTCAAAACCGCAGTAGTTGCAGCAGGATGCGAGCCTCAAGCCTCTTGAACCCCCAGCAATGTGCAGCACCCCTTGGCTCGATTGCCACTGGCGTCCAGCGCTGCCATGCCCAGCAACCCACCTCGGCTGTGGTGACAACCGCCTTGACCTCGCCCCGCTGGTCTGCCGCAATCTCCTCAAACTTGCCCAGGATCTTGCCCAGCTCGCTCAGACGGTTGTTGGCGGACAGCAGGCCTGCAGCATGTGGCCAGGCACGACAGCAAGCGATCACTATAGCACCAAGTGACCGCCGCAAAAAGAAATTAGCAATACATGAACCCTGCTTCTCTCTTAATCCCCATCTCCCTTGCAAAGCAAGAGCTGGTCTCATGCACGCACCCACGAAGTTCTTGGTGATGTCGGTGGCACCCATCTTGGTGAGGATGGAGTTGAGGCCGTCCACCTTGACCGCGCGCGGCACCGACGGGTCCCCCACAAAGGCGTTGAAGTCCTTGCTCTCCGCCATCAGGCTGGACACCTGGCTCAGCTCCCCCTCCACCTTCTGCAGGCTGTCCGTCTTCAAGGCCGCCATGTACAGCGCCGCGGCATACCGCCCCGGGATGCCGTGCTGCGGCGGCAGCTTCACCTCCTTCTCTGCTGCCTGGGCCAGCCCACGGGCGCCCTGCAGCCCAACAGGCACGCCATGGAGATGTGCTGGCATCAGCATCAGAATAATGTGTGCTGCACAGCTCGGTGCAAACAAAAACACACGGGCACAGCCAGGGCGGTGCCGCTACTACACGGCGGCCAGGCATGCAAACCGCCGCTCTTGGGTCCGCCAGATAAGACGCCTGGGGTGATCAGCAGGGAAAGGGCGAAGCCAGAGGAGCAGCGCTGCAGGCCCCAGCCCCAGCCCCAGCATCTGCAGGTGACCACCTGGCTGCTCACTCACCGCCACTGCAAGCTGAGATGCCTGCCTATAGAGCTTGGACGCCCCGCCGCGCAGCATCGTGTCTGCAGGCCGCGCACACCTTGCAGCAGGTCGCTGTCTCGCACCCTAGCAAGCTGGAGCGGCGCGGCGAGCGTGCAATCGGATTCAGGGACTGCCACAGCTTGTCCAGGGCAGCGGGTTCCCGATCAAGCTGCCATGGGGGCAAGCGCCTTCCTCCGAGAACAGCGGGGTTCTTGAGGCATTTGCTGGTGTCCGACGAGTGCCATTCATCGGTTTCCGTGCATCTGGGCCCACTGTCGTCGTTTTCTGCCAGCAAGGGGGCCTGCCCTGCAAGAGCTCTCTCTCAGGACTGGCACAGCCGGTCTGGGGACATGTCTGCCTGCTGCAGACCCACTACGGTGGTGTGCCTGCAGCAGCAGCCGTCGCGCAGGAGCCAGCCAACCAGCGGGGGCCGTGGCGTTGCGGTGTGGCACTCCGCCACCCCGCTCGCCGTGTGGCGAGGCCGCCTTGCATTCCACAGCAGGGAGCAGCAGCAGTGGGGCCATGGCCTGCAACCATGCCGTGTGACGCCCTTTGACCAGGCCTGGGGCCCCGCAGTGGACCTCGACGTAGGCACCACCAGCCTGCTCTCTGCTCTTGTCACTGCTGACCCGCCTCCCTCAGCCGAAGTCCTCAGCCTAAGGTTTTCTTTCTGGTTGTTGTCTCTGCTCATAAGATCTGCGCTTCCCGATCTCCCTGCAGAGTCTGTGGGATACGCTGCCTCAGAACCTGTTTGCTGTCAGCCTCTTCCCGTACATTGGGTTCCTATATCACTTGCACTGCAGCAAACAGGCGCCGCCACTCACCCTCTTTGGCTTCTACTTCCTATTGGTCTTTGTTTTTGCCACCATCCCCGCTGGCATCTACGGTGAGCACGGCGTGTATGGTTCGTGGGTGGGAGAAGAAGTGGACACTGTGCACAGCAGCTGAGACATGCCCACCCGAACAGCCCCTGTGTTACACACAATGCAGCCAAGAATTTCTACGGCGAGCCGCTTGCCAACGTGGACTGGCTACATGGCTCCGCAGGTGAGGCTGGAAGTTAGGGCCAAGGAATCTCTGCATTTGGCTGCTTGCTGCTGGCCGCCGCACCGATCCTCGCCCCTCCCTGTGCCCACTGCTGCAGAGTTCCTGCTGACGCTGACAAACCTCTTTATCGTGCTCGGACTGCGGGACGCCATCCGCAAGGCAGAAGCAGCCAACGCAGCCAAGGCAGCAGCAGCGCAAGCGCCAGGCAGTGGCGAGGCAGTTAGCGAGAACCAGCCGGCTTCACCTCGGCAGTAGCAATGTCTGCTGTTACTAGTGTACATGCATTTGTCAGCTGCAGTCAAATAAACTGAAAAGGCTTTGTAAGGAGTGACAGAATAGGCATCTCAACGGCACGCCGCCTTGTCTGTTTGCTGTTGCTTTAGCTGTCTGTGCCCATGAGGTCCCACAGCGTGTTGGTGATCTCAAAGTCGGGCGTGGCGGCGGGGTCAAAGTCAAAGGCGCGCAGCGGGCTGGACACCGTGCCCGCCACGCGGTCGCGCTGCTCAAACTGCCAGGTGATCTTGGACACGTGGGCGTACAGGCTGAGCTGGTGTCTGCGGCCACGAGGTGGGAGGTGTGCGGGCACACGAGGCAGAGGGAACGTGGTGGAGATGTTGGTATCGAACTGGGCCACGCACAGCACGAAGCAGCAAACTACACGGTTGGGAATGCAGCAGCAGATGGGGCCCTTGAGAAACACATGATACTCCCTCGCCACACCTTGTGCGTGGCTCCGCCTCGGTCACAATCTGCTCGATGTGGTCGGCCTTCTGCTGCAGCGCCGCCACCTGTGCCTTGATGTCCTGCCGCTGCTGCTGCAGCGCCTGCAGCTGGCTGTTCAGGCTATCCACGTTCTCGCGGGCCTCGTGCGCCACTGTGCTCATCGCTGCCACCCGCTGCTCATGCGCGCCCTCCTCCCCCGGGTATGCCGCCTCCCGCTCTGCCGTGCGCACCCGTCCCGTTAGCACTGCACCAAACGGTGCATGCACGTAACAGGTTGTGTGGAGGCTGCGATCTTTTTGCGCGCTGGGCAGCTGTGGTCAGGTACGGGTGAGCAGTAGCGGGCGTGCAGCCCCAGTGACCATCAAGCAGCATCCACTGCTGACGGACGCGCTGCCACCCGGCGCACCTTTGATCGCCTCCTTCACTTGTTCCTCCCGCTGGCTGCAGGCTGCGGCCACCTCCTGCTGCGCCCTGACCAGCCCAGCCACGGCGCTGGCATCCTCGGTGCGTGCGTAGTTGTCCCGCAGCGCGCTGATCACTCCCAGATGTTCGTCGAACACATCCTGTGCCGCGCTGGCCATGGCTGGTGCGTTGGGGATCCGGGGAAACGGCTGCAGCTCGAGTGCGGGTTGCCGGTGCAGCGCGACAGACGGCAGCAGGTGGTGGCTGCAGGGCTGCGGCGGGCTATGCTCAATGCGGACAGCAGGGTTGCCTGCGCTGGCGCTGGCGAGTGCGCAGGCGCCTGCCAACCACTGCTCCAGGTCGATGGAGCATTCCTCCTCCTTTCTTAGCCCCCATCTTTTTTGCTGCCTGCCCTCCCCCCGCTGCGCAATTCCTTAGCAGCGTCCAGGAGTGCATGGAGGGCGCCAGGCAGTGGGCCTTCACGGCCCCTGCATTTGCCAGTCAGGGCGGGCCTGGCGCCCATGCGCACGCAGCAGAGGCTAGCTACTGCCCTGCGGGCTGGAAGAAGCGTAGAAGACGAGGCGGAAAGCAGCCAGGGGGCAAGCGGCACAAGAGGCCAGCGAATGCGACGGCACCGCTGCCAACACCGCCTGTTGCCGACCTGCCTGCAGCGCCTGTCAACCCCGCCCAGCTGGCACCCCTGAGGTGCAGCTGGCCCCATCCGGCTGTGGTGGACCTGGTGATGAGGCAGTGCTGGCCTGCAGCTGGAGCGGCAGCACTCGGCATCCTCTGGCCGGCGGCGGCTGATGCTCTAGCACCCCAGCACCTGTCTCGCCGGCCCAGCTGGTGGAACGGCATGCTGCCCTCGCTCTCCCTGCTGCACGCGCCGCTGGAGATGGAGCAGCAGGCACTGCTGGGAATCGGTGGCGGCGGCAGTAGCAGCAGTGGCAGCCCACAGGCGGAGCAGCTACCGCAGCCAAACGTGCTGGTGGGATACGAGGTGGGCAGGCCTGCACTGAGCTGCCGCTTCTACACCTGCACGCACTTCTACAGCCCATGTTTGGCACAGCACACTGCTCCGCTGCTGGTGCAGGATGATTGGCTGGAGGTGGCGCCAGAGGTGCTGCCGCTGTGGCAGGCCACGCCGCTGGCGCCCTTCTCCGGCCCCAAGCCGCTGCTGCACTACCTGGTGTGCCCTGCGCAGCAACTGGCGGAGGCTGAGCAGTTCATCAAGGTGGGTGGACAGGTTGGCAGGCGGGTGGACAGCTGCGTGGCTGCTGTCTGTACATGTTTGTGGTGGGGGTTTGACACTCCGGCCCTGGGAGCATGGGGTGCCTGCATCACCATGTCAACACCTGGCCCTGGCCTGGCCTGCCTGCCTGTCTGCCTGCAGGACGTGGGGTCGCTGTTTGAGACTTGCAACCTGGGCAGCCACCGGCCCGCTGATGCCAGTCCAGTGCATAGCTTCCAGCTGCAGGCGCCGCCGGGCAGCACGACCGCCAGTGAGGGCCTGCCGCTGGCTGCGCACTACCTGCCGTGTCTGCGGCAGGCTTGTGAGCAGCTGCAGCGCCAGCTGCTGCTGGACCCTCCAGAGGAGCTGCAGCAGCAAGGCGCCAGCCTGGAGCATGGCGCTGAGCCTGCTGTGCTGGTGTACGTGGCATGCCCGCTGGAGCGGGCATCGGAGCAGGTGGCGGCGCTGCTGGAGGCAGCCGCCTGCCTGGCGCCCTGCACTCTCCTGGGTGCCACCGCGGGGCCTGGGGGCGACCTGGATCTGGCGTGCAGTGAGCATCAGGCGCTGGCACCAGGCGAGCCGCAGCCGCCCGACCGGCCCGCCGGTGCCACCCCCATGGCAGACAGCAGCAGGGCGGCGGGTGGTAGCCCGCCACTTGATGAGGCACTGGAAGAAGGAGAAGCGGCGCAGCAGCAGGGGCAGCAGGGGGAGCAGCAGGGGAAGGAGCAGCGGTACCATGGTGCGGCGCAGGTACTGCACCAGCAGGAGCGGGGCGACTTCCGCCAGCTGCCCCTGCGCATGGTGCAGCGCCCGGAGCACAGCCGCCCGCTCAACATCGTGTTGCAGGTGGGGTGATGGAGTTGTTGCGCATGCGCCCGGGCCCCTGGTGCGCCCGTGCTGGGCCGCTGCTCTTCAGCTCAAGGTGCTGTGGTGCCGCCTTGCTGTATGGCAGCAGGCTGCTCGTCTGGGGCCCCTTACGAATACTTTTTGCGTGTTGTTGTGTTGTCCGCGACCGCAGGTGCTGTCCCCCCAGGCTCTGTCAGACATTAGTGGTACTGCCGCCAAGTGCACCGCGCTGGCGCTGTACAGCAAGGTGCAGCATGTCCCCGACCACACCCAGCACCAGCTGGCGGCATCGACGCTGGAGGGTGAGGAGGCGGCGCCCGCCCTGCCGTTCTGCTCCCAGCCCTTGATGGTCCTGGCGCATGCGGCGATGCCGGCCACACAGGACGTGCAGCAGCCCGCCCTTCCTGGGCAGCAGCAGCAGCAGCAGCAGCAGCGGGAGCAGCAAGTAGAGGACCAGCAGCGGCGGCCCGAAGAGGACACTGGCGCCATGGGTGCAGAGGGCCCAGCACGCAGCACAGCGCCTGCTCTGCCACTCCGCACCCTTCACTGCTTCTATGCGCTGCCGCCGCCCGGCGCCAGCATGCTGCCGCTGGCATTTGCCGACAGCTGCGGCGAGCTGGTGCATGCCGAGCTGCTGGACACAGCCGCTGCCAGGATCAGCGGCCTGGGCATGGCTGTTAGCAGCTCAGATAGCCTGGTGGCCGCAGAGGCTGCCCCGGGCCGCTCCCCAGCCGCCCAGGCGTGCCATCTGGTGCTGCGGCGCTGCCTGGAGCTGCTGAGCTTGCTGCGGGCTGCCAGCAGCCCGCCCAACCTGCTGCACAGCATTGCCATTGCTGGCAGCGGCATGGGGGAGGAGGAGCGGCAGGCGTGGCAGCAGCTGGTGGGGCAAGACCCAGGGCTGCAACTGGAGCTGCCAGCTGGCGCCGAGGTGGCGGTGCTGGACCTTCAAGCCCCGCCGCCGGCAAGGTGGGCAGATCCGGCTGCATGGCACTTGGGAGCTGTCTGTGTGGGGGTCAGCTGGGCTTCAAGCCCAGTCCCAAGTCTTTACTGAAGTACCTGTATGTTTGGAATGTAGGTATGCTGCGCCTGACCCTCCGGCTGGCTGCAAGCTTGTGTATCATCATGGCAGCACGCCGCAGGCAAGCGTGGCTTGGCTGCCGCCGGCTGATGGCGCCAGCAGCCTGCTTCCGCACGAGCACGACACTGTGCGCTTGCTGCACCTGGCGATGGTGGCCCGCTGCCCGTCGGATGACGCGGCAGCCCCGCAGCACAGCGAGGTGGACAGCCTGCGTGGGGCGGCCCGCGAGCTACACGGCCTGGCCTGGCTGCATGCCGCCTTCCAGGGCGCATGCCTGCGCAGCACCGTGAGCGGCGGCCAGGCAGCCCCTGCGGACGCTCACCTGCCATTGCATGCTGCACTGGCCACTCGCCTGCACTCCCTGCTGGCCACCGTCACCACGCTCGCCCCCACATAGCTGCCCTGGTCCCACCATGTGCGCTGATTGGACTGGTAATTGGTTACACGCACGCTGACTCTCATCGGTCGGACACATGAGAGGCATGTGCTAGGCAAGCAGCAGAGAGATCTGGCAGGGGTGCATCAGGCAAGGAGGCGGCCGGGCACAAGACCCCAGCCTGTCACACTCAATGGCAACCCCGGTGGCAAAGAGTAGCAGTCAGGTTGAGAAGAACGAAGCAAAGCACACACAGGAAAAATGCGGAGGCACTAGGAGAATATCTTAAAAATTGAGATTGTGGATTGGTTTAAAGCATACATTGTGCTAGGGCGGTGGGCAGCATGCACGAATCAGCCTGGTGCAGCTATGCTCGAACAGCAGCCAGTGGGATGCCCGCAGTGGGTGCCATTTGCGCCTGCGGCAGCGCTCCATCTGATGCTGCCTGTTGTGCCGCCGCTGGAGGCGCAGGCGCTTCCTGCTCCTGTGCCCCAGCGGGCGCGGCGGCATCTGCTAGTGCGGCAGTAGCAGGCACCTGCTGCGTTTCTTGGAGAGCGGCGGCCGCGTCTATGCTGGGCAGGGGCAGGGGGGGCAGAGCAAACTGCTGGCCGCCCATCTGCCCAACAGCAGGCATAGGTGGCAGCATGGTGCCGGGCTGTTGCTGCGCAAAGCCCTGCACAGCAGCGTTCCGTGCAGCTGCCGCACTGGCAGCCGCCAGCGCCTGGTTGGCTGCCAGTGCAAACGGCAGGCCGGTGACCTGCATGGCTGTCGACCCTGGTGCCAGCGCCAGGTTACCGGGCTGGCCCATGAGCACCGGCAAACCCGCCGATGAGGCCATCTGCTGCAGCTGCAGGTGCTGTATGCTGGCCATCGCTGCCTTGGCCGCGTTGCTGTCGGGCAACGGCGGCCGGCCAGATGCTGCAAGCAGGGCAGACAGAAGGAGGGCAGGGTAAGAACTAAACGCATGCGGCCAGCAGCTTAGCAGCACTACAGCAATCCCAGCGCACTGCGATCCAGGCCATCCGCATGTGCGCTGCTGCCCGGCAGGCAACTCACGCTCGGGACGCCTGGCGAGCACGCTGCTGCGCCGCGCGCCCGACCGCGCGCCGTTTGTGGTGGCTGGCGGGTCGTGCGTGTGCGTGCCCTCGTAGGTGGTGACCAGCATGCGCGCGTTGCGCCCGCTGCGCTCCACCTGCTTGCGCACATTGCACCCGGGGTGCGTGCACTTGTAGTAGCTGCGCGGGTGAGGGTTGCCCTTGACGATCTTCTGCCCATACTTGCGCCACCTGCGCAGCACAACCAGGAGCCACGGGGAGGGGGTCGGGTGGGGTGAAAGACCAGCAGACCGCTTGGGGAAGAAGCCCTCGAGGCACGTCCTGCCCAGCACCATCAGTCTTGCCACTAAGGAACGCTGCTTATCTGCTGCTTCTCTGCTGCAGCCTTGCTACAAGAGTGCGCACGCAGCAGCGTATCATGCTCTCCACAGCGCAGCGCAGCCTGCCCCAGGCTGCACCGCCATGCGGCGCACCTGTAGCCATCATCCATGCCATCTGCATCCGTCTCCAGCTCCACCACGTTGCGCTCGTCGCCGCCGCCGCCCTCTGCCGCATCTGAGCCACGCCTGCCAGAGGGCCCGGCACCGTCGGCCGGGGGCGACACGCCGGCAGAGGGGGTGCGGCGCCGCTTGGGCGCCGCCACCGGCTCGACATCCTGCGTCTCGTGCTGGTGCTTGTAGCCGTTGCTCATGTTGCGCAGCACTGCGAGGACACACCAGGGCCAGGCACACCAGTGGCGGGATCATACAGCCACACCAGCCACAACCAACCGCAAGGCATGTCCCTTCTGATGCTCATGTCAAGCTGCCACCTGGCCGCCTCACCCTTGACCTCGTCGTCGTCCCCATACAACTCATCATAATCCTCATCGTCGCTGTCCTGCTGTCGCTGCCGCCCTCGCCTGCGCTTGCCCAGCATGATGAGTCCAGAGGTGTCCTGGTGCGCGCGCCGCCGCCCCACCGCGGCCACCGCCGCAGCCGCCGCCACTGCCGCATCTGCCGTGGACTGTGGCTCTGAGCGGTAGTCTTCCTCCCCCGGCTGCCACTCGTCATCATCCACCCCTGAATCCATCAGCTCGCTGTCATATGCCTCCTCTGCACATGCACACCAGGCGCAGCGGCAGGACCAGCAGTCAGCGCTGGACAGTGAGGGGTGCGGCGAGCAGGAGGGGTGCCTGCCGCCGCCGGCAAGCAGCATGGGGGTGGATTCCTCGGGCCCGGTTTGGGCAGAGTGGACATCTCAAACAAACCAGGCGGCAGGCGGCGGGCGAGGTTGGTGAAGCGCTGTGCGTGGGCATTCAGGGCATCCGCGGCATGCTGGGCCTGCAGGTGCTGCTGCATGTGCCAGGCAGCCATGGGCAAGCTGTTCTCCAGGCGGATGCCGCACACGCCGCAGCAGCGCCAACCTGACAGCTCTGAGTCCTCGCCGCCCGCCGCTGCCACGCGCACCCTGCCCGCCGCGTGATGCGCTGCCCCGCTGCTGTGCTGCAGGCGGTGCAACACCGCCCAGCCGTTGGCCTGCGGGTCCTCCGGCTCGCTGGAGGCGCGCAGGCTGGCGGGGATGGGCAGCAGCGAGGTGGGGGTGTCGTGCGGCGCCACCCCCAGCATCCCCGGCACCACAGGCGAGTACTTCATCGCCGCCAGCGCTGCCACCGCATCCTCCTGCTGCAGGTCATGCTGCAAGTCGTGCTGCATGTCCTGCTGCTGCTGTTGCTGCTGCTGTTGCTGCTGCTGCTGCTGCTGCGAAGCGTCGCTGCGCTGGCGAAACATGCCTGCGCCGCTGAACGCCGGTAGCCGATCACGTGACGCCTGCCCCCTGACCTGACCCGGCTTAGCGTGATTGTGCTCATTCTGTATGGAGGGATTGGGATGGCAGCGCAGAAAGGAGGTTTGAAGTGAGGCAGGCTCACGGCGCTGCCCCAGCACGTTGGCTGAAGCTCAGCAGCGCCAGACACTTGTGCACCACAACAAAGGGCCTCAAAGCTCGCCAGCAACACCCAGCCAGCCCGCCGCCGCCCTACCTTCAGCTCTGCCTGCGAGATCCTGCCCGTCTTGGGCTCCCGCTCAATCATCTTCTTGGCTGGGCACCCCGGGTGGCTGCATTTGTAGTAGCTGCGTGGAAAGGGGCTGCCCTTGACCTGCTTTTCCCCATACTTGCGCCAGTTGTAGCCGTCGTCGTTGGCCATGCTCTCCCGCCGTGGCTTCTCAGGCTGCAGAGCCAGCAAGGTGCCCCGCAGGGCCTGAGCACAACTGTGCAAATTGATCGACAGGCAGACAGCTATGCAGGTTGGCCGCCAGCAGAGGCAGCATGCACGCCCTGCGAACTGCAGCCACTCCCCAGACTTGCCTGCACAACAGGTCCCGCATGCTCTGGTTGGAGGTGCGCTCGCTCTGCCGCGCGCTGTGCCGCCTGCAGTTGCAGGCAGCAGCACTCCTGTTTGCTACAGTCGCTCCGCTGCCGCTGCAGTCAGTTCCGCCCCCAGCCGCCGCACACACCTGGCGGTTGCGTGAGGGCGCAATGTAGTTTCGAGGGTAGGAAGGGTAGGACCAGGAGGGGAGGGAAAATGCGGCCTCGTCACCCCCGCTCCCCGCCTGCCCATGCCCTTGGTCCGCCCCCTGCCCTTGCCCTCCGCCAGGCTGGAACAGCGGCACAGGGTATGGCATCAGCGAGGTGGACGGGCTGGGCTCCACTTGCTGCAAGAGGCAGGTAGTGGCAAAAGGAACCCGACGGATTCGCATGAATGCACACAGTGCGCGCGAGCAGCGAGACCGGAAGCGGGGGGAGGCGGCGGCGAGCAAGCCTGACCAGCTGGCCAGGGCGCTGGGGCTAAGCAGCGCCTACTGCCCCAGGTACATCGGGCCAAGCAGCGAGAGGCTGGGGCCGGTCCTGTGGCGGGAGTCCCGACAGTCAGAAGCCAGAGCGACGTGTCATGCGCTGACTGGGGCCCCCACCTGGCCAGTGAGTAACAGGACAGGAGACTCGGCTGGTAGCGCCAACCGTGACGGCAGGGCGCTGCGGGCAGGCTGGCGACGCTGCTCCTCAGCCTGCTCCTCCTGCTGCTCCTCATCGTCCTGCTTCAGGCTGGCCTCCGGCTGCTGGCTGGCGGAATTCTCGGGCTGCTGCCCGGGCGCCCCGGGTGGCTCTACTTCCCGCTCCCGCTCCATCACTTTGACCAGTCCCGTCAGGGCTGCTCCCGCGCCGCTTCCTGCATTTGTGTGATGTGCGGCTCTTCCACACCAACGAATCCCAGGCAACACAGCCCCGGGCTACATCAACCATCAAAGGAAGGGCAGCACGCTCAGCAGGGGCTCAGATTTTGGCTGTTTTGTTGCTTTGCTCAATGCAGGGGGCCACTGTGAGGCCACCGGGATCGTTTCGGAAGCTGCCTGGCTCACCCTGGCAACGGTGGCCCGGCCGGCGGCAGCAGGCGGCGGGCTGCCCGCCGCCGCCCGCCAATAAGACAAGTTAGCCACACTTCTGAGGCAAGGCGCAGATTGATGCTGCGGTCGGCCAATCACATTGTTCACCTGAACGCCGCGCTGCTCTGCTGTGCAGGACACCCCCAGCCCGCTCAGCCGCCCCCTTCAACTGGTTGCAATGTGTTGGCTCATATCAGGTTTTAATCAGTGTAATGAAATGTCAAAGAATTGTCTGTGCGAAGCTGCTGCCGCTCGTTCATAGGCATCATGCCGCCTCGATGGCCTTGATGCAATCAACCACGCCGGCGCCGCGGGCCATGGCCTCCTGCAGCGCCTCATACTCCTTGCTGTATGTCCGAAGCAGGCTGGCGGCCTGGTACGAAGCCCACCGCGTCTGGTTCTGCTGCTGCGTGTTGTTTAGTTTGGGCTGCTGTCGGCTCATGATCCTCTGCAAGGCACCACGCGGCGGACGCTGAGCTCGTTGGTTCGTATCCCCCAGTGCACCCCCCCCCCCCCCA